AACAGGGAAAAAAAAGAAAAGTAAGCAAAGTACAAGATGGAAAAACACAGGGAACTAAATGATGGAAAGGGGGGGGGAGGCCTGCCTGAAGAACCAAGTCTTCAGCTTGTTCTTAAAAACTCCCAGCAAGGGTGCCAGGCAAATCTCAGGAGGCAAGTTGTTCCAGAGGCGAGGGGCCACTGCCAAGAAGGCCCAGTTTCTAGTTCTGTCCTTCTGGGCCTCTCTCCGGATCAAGCCCCTCAGCCGCCCAGCCTGTCTAGATCAAGTGACACGAATAGAGCTAGGTGGGAGCAGGAACATTTACCCAAAGGGAATGTGCTGGTTTGAAGAATGTGATGGGCTGTGATGCACACCTCAGTTTTCTCAAGCTGAGATGCAGCTGAGAAAGTGAGGCGAACATCCTGCATACGCTTTTAAAGTCTAATGGATAGAAATACATAAACTCCTGAGTCAGCTAGGTAACTTTGAGTTTATCTATGCTGCACTTACAGCAGTTTGAGTCCGCATTAATTGTAGTAATTCCATTCTGTAGAATTTTGGATTTGTAGTTTAGTGAGGAACTTATAATTCACTGCTGAACTTGATTGTTTTAGAAAATGGGAACTGTTTTGCAATAACTCATGTAAGCTATTTTTCCCCCAAGTTTTAAAGTTTTTAAAATTACTTTCACTATTAGGCAAATGTTCCTGAATTCCCCATAGTTATTTTATTACTTTTCTAACTCTCTTAAACATACAGTGTTTCAAACCTTGAAAGATGTATCTACTGTTGTAGCTCAGAAAAGTGCACATCTTTCTAGCACAAAATGCTAAGTAAGTTCTATAGGACGGAGTCCAAATATTTAAAGTTTTTTTTCAAACTGCTGTAACTGTCCAGTCAAACACAGAGGATAGAGCATTGGACAAAGAAAAGCATAAAACTCCACTTAATCTACGAAGATTATAACTGACTAATAAAAAAGAAGAGAAGAAAGAAAGAGAGACAGAAGAAGAAGAAACCAATCCCAAACCATTTATTTTTAATCACTGCATGATAAGGCAAATGCTGCCTTTGTAAAAAGTATTGAATAACTTCAAAATATTAAAATCCTAGCAGCATGAATGTACGGTTTTAAAATGCACACAGAAAATAAACTGTAACCTGCCCTTTTAAAGTCACACCAAATACATAGGAAAGGATTTTCGTTTCACTGAACTGAACAGCCTCCTGTTAGTTCTTTCTCCAAGCTTGGTCGCCAGGTTTCATTATTAGAAATCACCATGTTAAGAATCCATCGCGTCCCTTTTGAGAACCTTGGCAAGCTTATGCCTCTGTTGACATTAGTAATCATTAATCAGACTTGCTTAGATCTTAGATTTTTTCCCCCAATGGTATGATGCTTTCACTTCCTTATTGGTAAAATGTCCAAAGGTGGCTTGGGGAATTTTTATGCATTACACAGCCATCTATCTATGGATGAAAAAAAACTAAGGAAAGACCAGCCTAAGAGGTCAGTCCCTCCATCCCCTCCCCCATGATCTCAATTTGAGGCAGTGTATAGGGGTTGCAGCAGGAGAGCGGATCTTTGGCCCTTCACATGTTTCAGATTACAACCCTCAACTGTGCTGGTTGAACTTTCTAGGGGATGGAAATTCAAAGAATCTGGGTGGTCAGTGGATGGTTCCCCTGTCCTTTACTCAAGCCCAGAAGTGGGGAGATTTGGACCCTCTCAGTGTTTCGGTTTACAGCTCCCATCAGCCTCACCCAACAAGGGTAAAAAGAATTATGGAAGTTGTGGCCCAAAGCATTGGGAAGGCCAGACGTCCCAACAATTTGTGAGACAAGATTTTGTGTCCCCTTCTTCAGGAAGTTTCTCTCAATCCAGCTGGCTTTAGAATGGACTTGCAGCTATGAGGATAAAACAGAGGAGGGAAAAAGAACGCTGCTTGCTACGTCAAACTCCAAAGAGGAAGTAGTCTAGAAATATATTCTACTGCGTCTATTAATTGTTATTATGTGCGTCAAGTTGCTTGACCCTAATGGGATCTTCATGGTAGGTGTTCCCATGGCCAAAACCCAGAATTTGAGCCCAGGTCTCCAGAATCCTAATCTGATGCTCTGTCAGCTATACCACATTGGCTCCAAGCACTGTTTAAGAATATGTTCCTTCCGTTGGCAGCCCCCCCCCCAGCTATTCCTCACCAGCCGCCCAGATACCACTACTTCTGCCAACAAGCGTGAAGAACCTCTGCCCACCCCAGACGTTTTGGACTACACCTCCCATCCTTCCTTATCACTAGCCAAGAGGGGCAAGTCCTAAAAATTTGAGGGCTGGTGGCTGCCCACCCTTGTGGGCTAAAAATAAAATAAAATTAAAAAATGCTATATTGGGAGTCCCTAGAAGGAACAGCCTAAGACCCCCCCGGGCGTGCGTGCGTGTGTGTGTGTGTTTGTAGGAAAAAGTATCCTATTCCCCTTGCAATCCCAGAAAGGAAAAGGAAAACTAACGGGAAAGACGAGGCCCCTCGCCCACACCCGAAACAAAGAAGGCAGAGCTGCGGGGCTCCTCTTACCTTTCCGAAATACTAATCTCTTTCGGGATCTTCTCTTCCGTTAAGGCGAGTAGATTCGGCCGCGCGACCCCGACTCCGCTCAAGTTGTTGCCATCATCATCCTCATCCTCATTTTTAGTCTTCTGGCTACTGCTGCTGCTGCTGCTTATGCCGCTTTCTCAGGAACGTGCTTAGGATCGGGGCGAGTCTCTGGGTGGGACGGGGCCCGCTTCTCCCTCGGACCCGGGGCAACAAACAGGTGCCGCCGACACTTCACACACACCCCTCGGCTGGCTTCTCGCTGCCGGCGACCCGCGGCCCCCTCCCTCCCGGGTGCGCGCACCACCGACCAACCGGCAACAATCCTGGAGCTTATCAGGATCATGACCAGGATCTTTGCTCATCGGCACCAAAGTGCACGCCCTTCCCCCCCCCCCGGGTTCCTCCTCCCCACCTCCTTTGAACAAGGGACGGCTGGCGGCTGTTTCTGCCCCGGGCGATTATCCTATTTATTTGCTGATCACACTTATACTAAACCCACACCTCCCGTTCAGCCTGAAGCCAGCAGGCAAGGGGGGGGGGGGGGGGAGAGGCAAGCAACGTATTGGATCGACATGGAATTCCAACATAGAAAGGCAAATAATGCCATTATTAGCAGCCAACCGCGAGGTACAAAAGCTTGGACACGTTTGCGGGAATTCAAAAGCTCTCGGTCAGGAAGGATGTTGCAAAAATTGGAAGGGAAAAGGGAAAGAAAGGGACTTGATGACGTCCTGAGATCAATGGCATGTATAACAAAAGGTGGCACCTTGAGGATTAGCAGGTCCGTTTCCGTGGTGAGATTTCGGGGAATACAACCCACTTCCTCGAACACAAAATATAAATACCCTAAAATAAATAAATCGGTTAGGCTCCAATAATAATAAGAGTGGTCTTAACCGATCAGATAGGCGGTTAAAATAAATTAATCGGTTAGGCTCCAATAATAATAATGTGCCATCACTTTACTGCCCTGTTTCCCTGAAAATAAGCCCTAACTTGAAAATAAGCCCTGGTATGATTTTTCAGGATTCCTCAAAAATAAGCCCCAGTTAAGTGAAACCCTGACCTCTACCCTTGTGCAGCAACCAGCAGAAGATGGCATGACTGTATTTGAATAAATGTAGATTGTAGTATATGAAAAAAATAAAACATCCCCTGGAAATAACCCTAATGTGTTTTTGGAGCAAAAATTAATATAAGGCCCTGTCTTATTTTCGGGGAAACATGGTACTTCATTTATTTACTGGAAGCATTTGTTTCTCTCCGTCAGGGGTCCCAAACAGAAGGACAGAAGGGGGGCTCTTTTGGTTTCCAAGTCATTTTAGACTACAATTCCTGCAAGCCCCTACTATTGGTCATCCGGACTGGGGCTGATAGGACCTGATGTTGAAAACAGTTGGAGGGCAAAAGTTCCCGGGTCATAGAAGCTGACACCTGATGGTTGGGACAGATGAACAAGTTGCTGGGGCAAACATGAGGTCCCTCCTACAATCCTTGAGCCTCAAAAGCTCAGGAGCTACTTAGATCAATACCTGGCTTACAGTAAAACACACAATTGTCAGAGACCAAAAGTAAAAACAAAGCGCTTTTTCTCTTAGCGGGGCTGGAATTAACTATGGCCAAGAGTTTGTTCATAATTTGTACAACACACAGAGACCCTCCTGGCTGTTTCTACAGGTTCCCTGATCTGCTTGTCTTGTGAATAAATTTGCAGATCAAAGCTTTGGTTAATTGTGAAACATCTCAAGAAGCTAGTCCTGTGCGGTTAAATGCATCTCCTTCCCACTTCCCTGGAAAAGTAAATCCCACTGAATGCATTAGAATTTAGTTCTGAGTAGACCTGCATAGAAGGTTATTGTTGTACAACCCTTTTCTCAGCTGAGGAATTCCTTTAACATCCTGAGATACTGCTCTCCCTCCATATACACACAGAGATAAAAGAAAAGTTAACATTACATTTGTTAGAAATTGTTCATTTAATAGTTATGATATGCAAAGGCACTCGTGTGTTTATTTACGGAATTATATCCAACTTTTTCACCAGTGTGTCTGGCAAGGGTATAGGCCCTGCCACTGGTGTGCCCCTGGGGAAATGGCACAGTTCCAGAGCACCACCAGAACAAAGGACTGGTAAACCATTTCTGAGTATTTTATATGCAGAAAATTCAGGGAGAATCCAAAGAACAGGTTACCTACCTATAACTGTGATTCTTTGAGTGGTCTTTTGTGAATTCACACACATGGGTAAGTAACCTGTTCTACTTCATTGTGGTTTCTGTGAATCACACACATGGGTGATTGACAAGCTCACTTAACAGATGGAGGAATGTCATGCCAAACATCCATTTGGGAGAGCTATCATCTTAAGAGATGATAGCTCTTCCAAATGCTGCGTCTGTTTTTGCCAAATGTCCAGTGTATGTTTTATGAATGTTAGGGGCTGTGACCAGGTTGATATCTTACAGATCTCATGGAGCGGAACACCCTTCTAAAATGCGATGGAGGATGCCATTGCTCTAGTGGAATAAGCCCTCGATGACTGTGGAATTATTATTTCTGCCAGCTGCTATGCTAACTTCATGGCGTTTGTCACTCATTTGGACAGTCATCAAGAAGAGGCATGCTGCCCCAAGCCGTTTCCTTGATAACTGAGGAAAAGTCTTTCTGATTTTCTGAAGAGCTTAGTTCTGGAATGCCAGTGCTCTGTGTACATCTAGTATGCATAGCTTTCTACATTTCTACAGAGATGTAGATGGTACAGGGACGAAGGAAGACAAGTTTATAAGCTGGTTATGATGGAAGTCTGAGACAATCTCAGGTTTTAAAAAAAGGGATTCTGGGAAGATAGTGACTTTGTCATAAAATTGGGGAAAGGGTGGATCACTTCTAAGAGCAGCTAGTTCACTGGCTGGCTGTACATGCTGATGCTATTGCTACCAAGAAAACTGTTTTATAAGCGAGGAGGCAAAGGTCTGCAGTCACCATTCGTTCAAAGGCTGATCTGGAGATATTTGCGAAGGCTTTCACGGCCGGGATCTAATGACTGTTCTGGGTTTTTCCGGCTCTTCAACAAAAAAGAGGAAAGTATGAAGCTCAACAAAACTTGGCTCCCAGCAATCAAACATACTAAGTGCAAAAGGTCAACTGACTCCACCCACCCACAAGGACAGGGGATCACGACACACAAAAGACCAGCTAATGACACCCATCAACCACAGGAACAGATAATCTCTTCCCCTTAGCACAACAATACACCCACAACAATACACACTAATCACCCATTTCCAGGAAAAAGACAAAAGCCTATCTCACAGCCATAAATACTGCACTCCCAAGCCAACTACACCAGAGCACAGGTTTCTGTCCTCTAAAGATGCCAGCCACAGAGACTGGCGAAACATCAGGAAGAACAACCTTCAGAACACGGCCACAGAGCCTGAAAAACCCAGAACAACCACTGATCTGGAGAGCTTCTGCAAAACCAGTGGAAGAGACAATTGAGGTGGAGGTTGTTTAACATCTGGGTAAACATGGCAGAGCCCCTGCAGGAAGCATTTTAATGTGAGATCCTTGCAGTATCAAGAAGCCAGGGATTTGCAGGGCTGATGTGCCACTATGATAGAAAGATATACTTTAACAGTGAATAATGCCAAGCCTTGTATCTTGAAATGCAGCAAGAAATGTAGAACAGTGCTTACTGAAGGATGGGCCTCAGACTTCCCTATGGAATATGCAAAGGCTGAGAATCTGTTCCATTTGTACATGTAAGTTTTCCTGGTTGATGGCTTTCGAGACTTGTCCAGAATATGTTTTATTGAGGAAGAATGTCCATTACTACTGCATTGTGCCTCTTTGAAATACTTGTACTTTGTTTTTCAAAGATTTTGTCTGCATCTGAGCATATTTTCTGCTCAGAAAAATTGCAGTTTAAAATGGGCACTTAAAGTATTACTCAAGAAAATGATGTAAGGAAAAGAATTGCATGTGTATAGAAGGTTCATATCCTACCTTTGGTTCAGCTTTAATCTTCAGTGATAATTAAGAAATCTAATAAAACAAATCATGTGGTGCCATGATTAGAGGAGCTTTCTTCTAATTTTTACTCTCCAGAAGCATTGGCTTTTTCAAAGCATGATGACAACTATAGTTGGACACAATGGTTTTAATGCCCACGGAGGAGGGAAGACACACCGATAGTATGAAATGGGGGGGGTCATAGAAGGAGACTCCCTGAAGAAAGGGAAAGCATTGCTGGTACACGTGGGTGTCCCCTGGGCAATGGCATGCAGCCAACCAATCCCTTACTTCCATAAGTGTTGCACTGTAAACTTGCTGATATATATGTCCATGATTTTACATTGTGCATTATTCTGATACCAATAAAGAAATCTACAGTTCTCTAAATGTTTAGTTTGCCCCCAAATCTCCACAGGACTGCTGGATTCAAAACATGTGAGCTATGCCCTTGTGGACAGGATTTGAAATATATATACAGTTGTTACACCTAAAATCAGGAGTCAGTAGGGCCCCTCGTGGCCTTCAGAACTTTCCCTAGGCTTAGCTCCCCAATCTAAATAGCACTTTTACAAGAAAAAGGGCCTTTGTGCCATGTCTTGTTCATATTCGTGTTCTGCAACCTAACCACTAGTCAATGTTAGACTGTGTCCTCTGACACTTAAGAAATTAGGAAACTATTAATGCTAAATCATCCATTTATGCTTCTAGTCCATTAGTACTCTGACAACAATTCTGTAGTTTCTGGCTAAATGCAGTTTAGGATTCTAGAAAGAAATGGGGTGTGGGTATGAATCTTTGTGTGGGAAAACCTGCAAACTTGCTTCTGCAACTAATCTCAACATCAGGAGGTTCTGAGAATACTCTCTTTAAGGAGTCACCCATTAAAGTATGCCAATAGAATAAGCTCAAGAAGACATCAAACTTCGTTGGAGCTCTGAGCTAGCAGCTAATATTGGGCATTTTGGGGGGGGGAGGAAATTATAAGTTATATTTTTTTTCTTACACCAAAGGGGAAAGGTGCAAATGAGATTTTTTGCTTCGAGTCCTAAAATAAGTTTATTGGGTGTCAATACTATGAACCAAGGGTAGGGGAATTAACAATCTGCTTCTGGAAGCAAATTGTCTTGGGTCAGCTCTGCGCTGACATTCAGCTCTCTCTCAGGGGTCTACAGAGTTTATTTCTATGTAATCATGATTCAAAAAGAGTGGTAGTCAGCATCTGTAGGTCAAACTGAAAAAGTCCAATGTAAGCAATTTATCACCTTAAATTGTGGGGAGCAGGCAGAAGAAAGTTCAGCTGATGATTCCAGTTAAAAAGAGTTCCAAGGAGTCTTGGCAGGCAA